GCCTTTCATGGCAGGGCATTGAATCTACAAAGAGCAAAGGCATAGTGAAGAGAAATCTTAAGAAATGTTAGGGTAACACAGAGAAGTTTACTTCTATGGGAGTAAAGGTTTTGGAGGTTGTATAGTAAAAGAGAGGAAGAAAGTTAGATTGAAGTTTCACATATTGTTAAACTTGAGTACCACGTTTATTTGGTAGAAAATGCCAAGCCATTTCAAAGTGGGAAAATAGACAACAGATCCATGCTCTAGGAATATTATTTTGACATTAGAAATTGGAGTAAAACCAAGTGACATGAGACTGAGGTAGAGAGGGCACTTGGGAAAGGGGTCTCAGGGATTGTTTTGTATCTCAGGCTGCCATCGGCAGAGATTGTGTGCCCTGCAGGCTGGAAGGGAAGAAGCAGACAACCTTGGTTGATGACTATGTTCTCAAAAGTGACCTTCAAATGATTTATCAAGACCAACTCTGAGAATAACTATATCATTTGTAAAAATGGCAAATGTAAGGGAAACAGGTTTATGCAAAGAGAAAAAGAGATGAGCACCATTTTAGACATACCGAGTTTAATATGTTATATGGATGCATCAAACAATATTTGTAATGTGCAGGAGGAGCTTTGGAGTTGATTCTACAGTTTTCTGCATAATGGTGAGAGAGAAAGAAGGGCAATGGGGCACTGAGCTGACTCAGAGACCCCATTTTCTGTTTCCACTACAACCACATAAATATAACAATCTTTAAAACATACAGCCAAGCTCTCAGAAAAGAAACCCAGGTTTCACAAAAGATAATATGGTAAATCATGCAACTTGATGCCACAGTGGCACAAGGGGGAATCTCTCCCAGATATAATCCCTAGTTGTTTGGAAATGGGATTTTAATGTATGTATAGAAAAAGATCAATGTTCTGCTAAGGCATGGATGTGGAACTGAGTATTTCTTGGAGCCAGCAGTATCTCCATGCCAATGCATAGTCACTAGAGCCTATGCCAAGTATTGCTATCGGTTGTGGATTTATAACATATGAGTATTGTGGAAACCCAAATTGAGAAGTTAAGGTAGAAATTTGTCCATGAACTGGTAAAATTCTAAGGGAAAAAAGCAATCCGATCCCCTTAATAGGGACATTTAAATAACTTGACTCTCATGGAACTCTTACAGAAACTATAATCACCATGAAAAGGCACTCACAATGAAAACTGTGAACCAAAAGAGGAAACAAACTATCTTAAAAGAAAATAAGCAAAGACCAAAAAAAAAAAAAAAAAAAAAAAAAAAAAAAGCAAAAACCAAAAAAAAAAAAAAAAAAAAAACACAAACAAACAAACAAACAAAAACAAAAAAAGAAAAAGAAAACAGGAAAACTGTAGAAGAAAAGAAGAAAATAGAACAATCTGAAAAGGAGATTGTCAACTAACTGCTCAAACTGTTTACAGGCAAAGTAAGACCATAATATAAGAACAGATCTTTACAAAAAAAAAAAAAGGAATAATGAGGATTTGAAAAAAGAAACATATTATTTCTAGAAATGAAAATAAATTTAATAAAATAAAAGAATTAATGAATGCATTAAACAGCACATTACATGCAATCGAAGAGAGTAAAGATCTTGAAGGAAAAAAGAAACATATTATTTCTAGAAATGAAAATAAATTTAATAAAATAAAAGAATTAATGCATTAAACAGCACATTACATGCAATCGAAGAGGAGAGTACAGATCTTGAAATAGCATTTGAGAAAATTATAAGAATGAAGACCAGAAAGGTAATTTAATAGAAATTTTGAAAGTGAGGTTAATAAAGGATGCCTAATGGAATTTCCAGAAAGAGAAAACAGAGAAAATAGATATCAAAAATACATTCGAAGAGCGAGTACCTCAAGAATTTTCTGGAAATTAAGAAACGCATTAATGCTAATATTGAGGAAGCATAGCAAACACTGAGATATGTAATAGTAAATAAAATGCAGATTAGATACAAACAGATAATCCTGAAAAACAGTAGAGAAAAATAAATTGCAATAGAGCAAAAATAGAAAATAAAATAGAGAAAAGATAAATGGTTATAGTGGAATTATAATCAGACGCACAGCAAAATTCTTATTGTCAAAACTTGCGACAAGAGACAGTGAAATAGTATATGTTCAAAATACTGAGACAAAATAACTGTCAACATAAAATTCTATACCTTGTCAAACTAATATTAAGGAATGAAGGTGAAATAAAACCATTTGCTGACAAAATAATTTGCAAAATTCTACCATTCAGAGACCCTTGCTGAAAGAACTACTAAAGGATGTAATTCAGTTAAAAAGACATTGAACTGGTAAGGGGTGGGATGAAAAAAGAAATGGAGATGTAAGAGTACTAGCTTCAGAAGAATAGAAAATTATTTGGAATAGATCTGTGAAAACTTTAACCGCCAGCCAATAAAAGATGAATAAAAATGTAGTGGAATAATAGTGAGGAAATTCCTGAGGTTAGATACTGTCAGGTCTGTGTAATATCACTTTTTACACAAGGGAATCCATCAGACAATCCAGGTGAGCCAGTATTGCTAATAGTTGAGTGATTTTCAATCTTGGCGGAATAACAAAACTTAAGAAAATATATATATGTATATATTGGTGGCTGGGTTCCATTTTCCGACTTGCCGATTTAATTGGCTTGGAATGTGTCTTCACATTAGATTTTGCTTTGTTTTTTAAGCTCCCCAGGTGATTCTGTGCAGCCAAGATTGAGAAGCACTGTAATACATTGTTGAAGAGCGGAAGTCCCGAAGCTGGCTTTAGCCACTTGTCACAGCAGAAAGTACCTCTCATTTTCATAGTAGTGGAGGCCTTTTCATACTCAGCAAAAGTGGCCTAATCTTTTTAGCAGGGATTGGCAAGCTTTTTCTCTAAAGGGCCAGATATTCTAGGTTTTATGGGTTGGGTGGTTTCTGTTGCAACTATTCAATGCTGCCATTATAATGCAAAAGCAGCTGTAGATACTATGTAAACAGATGGGCATGACTGTGTTCCAGTAAGTTTTATTTACAAAAGAGTGATGGGCAGGATTTGGCCTGGGGGCCTTAGTGTGCAGCATCTGCTGAGGAATATTAATGCGCAGTTAAGGAAACTTTACATAAGCTTTGGAGAAAATAGCCCATGTGTGAATAGGTCAAGGAAGTGTCAGCTGACAAGGCTGGAGAAGAGTCTATGAAGATGAAAAGCCGTGGACTTTGGGAAACAATAGGCCTGGAGAGGTCATTATAATGAGGGAAAAATGTGAGTCAATGAAAATGCGCACATAGAAAGTTAGGGCTCTGGCAATGAGGGGGTAGCTGCAGCCACGTAATAAGTTGAGAATGTAGGAGAGGTTGGTTTGTTTGGTTTTGCGTCTGTTGTGTTTTGTTTGTGTTTTCACATTGAGAGGGAGAACATGTAAATGGAAGATTTTCTATTTACTTATATCTAGATATTTTGGGTTTGGGTTCAATGTACTCATATTTTCAGCATGTTATGCAGCCATGGTATCTGTATAAAAACTGTTCTCTTTTTCTATCCTTAGCCTCTTCTCCAGTGTTTTGTTTGCATGAGAACATTTTCTTTTCACACAAATTGATTAATTTTAGACTGATAATCTAAACAGTAAGCTTAGATTATAGCAATTGAAGAGCAGAGGTGGGTTTCCTGTCCAGCATAGCTCTCAAATATTATTTGAATTTGTTCCCTTTTCTCCTTCGCTGTACTCATAACTGCTTTCCTGGCTTATGGAACTGCTTATTTTTGTCCCCAAACATAGCTTTTATTCCATTTTAATACTTCTGAAATTAGCTTACATCTCAGAATCAATGGATATGCACTAAATAATTATGTGTTTTATTTTTTAACTCCCACACCCTTTATGAAATTCATAGTGTATCTTCCAATCAGTAGCATCTCAGAATCAAGGAAATACGGTATTGTCTTCTCTTGTGTCTTTGCCTCCATCTTTCCTTTGGCAACCACTTCCAGTGTTCCTGAAGAGTTATGTTTCTGGAGAATAAATCTGACCACGTCACTACCTTACCTAATAATTTTTAGTGGGTCTAAAGAATTTTTAGCGATCTCAAAGTCCATACTCCTTGGCGTGACTTTCAAGGGCCTTGTTATCTAATGCCTTGCATGTTCTGGCCCAAAGAACTGGATCTCCAGCCTTATTCCCCTTTAGCCCTCCCTCCCTCATGTGGAATGCTTCATTCCTGACCATCAGACACATGACGTATTATTTTATTGCAAGTGTTGAAAAAAAATCTCTGAGGAAGGTTTAATAAAATGGGATTGGTATTGATCAGAAAATAGCTAAAAGAGACTTTGTCTAAAGCTTAATAATTGTCTTTGCAGGAAAGGCTTGACTTTTTAAATTAGCATGAGTTGCTGAACAAGTTTATAGAATATCTTCATTTGGAGACTTTAAAACACACTAGACACTCTTCTGTTTCAAATGATTTAGGTAAACCCATGAGAGGTAAACAAGATGAACACGGAGGCTGTGTCCAGATTTAGGAGTTTTGGGGTGATTAATGACTATATCTAAATGAAGCCAAAATATCCAGATGGGAGTAAACAGAGAAACTCAATTAGTCTTCTACATGCTATCTATACATGGTTCCAAAGACGTGGATATTTAACAGTTGAATGTATACCATATATATCACTGCTGTTTTCTGCTTTGAATGTTAATATGTTGCTACAGTATAAACAAACTCACAAGACAAACTGCTGTTATTTTACTCATATCTGCCATCAAATAACATATATCAAATTGTAAGTATTAGAAAGAAAAAATGTGAGTAAATTGAGCATGCTCCAAAATTGTTTTAGTTTGGTTTAGGAATAAAATTATAATGAAGGAATCATGTAAAATAAATTTTCCTGATGCGGTTCTGGCTATTTCTTTATTTTTATAAAATAGAAATTGGCAAGTGGCTTATTCATCGAATGCATATTTATATTGCTCTGTATTTTAAATTTAGGTATGTGTCTTGTGCCCTGGGCTGTCCGTATGAAGGAAGCATTACACCGCAAAAAGTGACAGAAGTAAGACGCATCTCCAGACTTTATGGATTGTGGTAAAATGATGTATATTATTTTTTTAACTGAGCTGTTTTCCTTCCTATTTATTGCATCTATATAACAGAGACTAAAGATAGCCATGGAATGGGAGACTATCCCTGAAGACATGTTTGATCCTATTGGCTTTAACTTTTCAAAATTAAATGACTGTTGAATCTTATCATTTGGATGCTGGAAGATAGAAGGAATAAAAACATCTGTTTTGTTTTTATGTGGCTTACACATAACTCACTATGTAACATAGTGAGTGGCCTTTCTATTTTCCATCAAAATGACAGGGCAGTTTTTGTACACACCCTTTAACTTTGCTATGGTTGCTTAGGGTAGCATCCTTTGTTTTTTCTCCTACATTATTTGACACTTACATCAGAGTATACATGCTTCAGTGTTGGTTTTTTTCTTTTCTTTTTTTTCTTTTGTGATTCTATAGTTTAGGGTAGCATCCTTTGTTTTTTCTCCTACATTATTTGACACTTACATCAGAGTATACATGATTCAGTGTTGGTTTTTTTCTTTTCTTTTTTTTCTTTTGTGATTCTATAGTTCTTATTGGTGTGATTAAGTTGCTGTTATTCCAGAGCAATTTTACAGCAATACATTATATAGTCATTAAGGACCTGCTTGTTAAAGTTCATTTTCTACTTCGTGTCCATGATTACTAATTTATAATAATGAATACAAATGCTCTATATTTGAGATTATATTAGACTATCTCAGAAATTCATTTGTGTATGAAGTATATTAATGTGCACCTGTTAAAGTGGTAAATTTTGGTAAGTTCGGAAATATGGCATGGAAACAGCAAAGACAGCATTATTAGAAAATCCATATATAGGCAGCATAAACCTTCAGTTCAGTTAAAGCCACTCCTCTTTTGCGCATTCACTTGAATTTTTGAAATTTACTGCAAATTTTTCAAATGAGAGCTATCCAATTATCTATTATTTAGATAAGACCCTTGCACACAGAGGCAGATGTACTATGAAATAATGAAGCTTGGATTTTATAGTACTTCATTTGCATGGGACCTTTCTAAGACTCTATTATTAATTTTCATTCACAATTATACATTCTTTTCTTAAAGTATAGCTCCAAAAGGTATAACATTAAGCCCCACAAAACCTGGATCCACCTCTGCCTAATACCATGCTCCTTGCTTTTCTGCCTTTTTTCCTGCACCGCCTATGGATGAACTACATATACCCTCTGGCCCTTCACTCTTGCACCAGAATGCCTGAGATGCTGCTGAAGAGAGTCATGTAACAGGCAGATTGGGAGTACTAGAAATTCCTGATGAGCGACTTTAAGGGCATTTTGTGCTGTTCTACTGCATTTCACAGTCAACTCTCTTCTCTTTGAAATTACTATTTAGAAGTGTGATTATGCTATTCAAGCCTCTCGTTCTTCCTCTCATTTTCCTCCCTCTTGGTTTTTGCTTTCTCATTACACTGTTCTTTGCATTTGACTTTTTCCCCACCTGGAATGCTTTTTGCATTTTATATTTTAGCTGCTTGGAACCTACTGACGTTTGTATTTGATATTCCTGGAACATTCTTTGCAGGCATCTTCCTTCTCACCCTCTTCAACAAGTTTATGCTTACTTTATCAGGTTGTCACTTAGGCCCTTCCTGCTTGATAAATCTAGGTTTTTTGCTACATGCTCTTAGAATCCTGTTTCTATATTTCAAAGTTCTTTTTTTAGTTTGTATTTATGCATCCTCAGTGGGATTGACTAAGGTCTGTCCTCACTTGACTCCAGGCTCCATAGCAGAATCGAACATGTCAATATTTGTTTCTCCCTTATTTCTCAGCATCTAGCACAGTGCTTGGGATAGAATAGGCACTGGAGAAACACATGGTGGATGAATGAATGAGCACCATGAGCCAGATTTTATATAAAGTGACTTGTATACATTCTCATTACATTTTTACAACCAGGCATGTCATTATTAACATCGTTTATCATATTTTTAAAGTGAAGTAGCTATGGCTTAGAAAATGTGCTAAATGAGGGTGTGCTCTTCTCCGAATTTTGCAGATTAGGGAGTGAGGCTTAAATAGATTTTTTGTGTATTATGTGTTAGGCTGTGTATCCTTATTTGTAATATAAATATATTGAGAGCTTTAGTGTGATAATATTTATAAAATATTATCAGTCTAATGTTTAAACAGCTCCTGCCATGTGACAGGCACTCAGGAAGCATTTGTAAGTTCCTCATGTTTTTTAGGACAATGGAGGTCTCTTATTACTGTTCATTTGATTGGATAAAATCTGTGAATCTGCTCATTTTAAAGTATCAATACTGGTAGAGCTAGGATTAAATCTTCTGCCCAATATCACATGACTAGCATGGGTGGGAGCTGAGATTTAAATCCAGGTCTGTCTGATACCAGAACCCATGTCTGTCGAATACCGTGCTGCCTTCATGCAAACTCACATTGCTTCTTGAAAGTAACATTAGTTATTCAGCTTGAAGAGACTTTGCAGTTTTCCTCACACAACTGCATCCATTTATGAGCCTGAAAAATTAGACCAGAAATATTAAGTGATTCTACCAATTGCAAAACTATTTAGTGACAGAGCTGAAACTGGTGTTGGACCAGACAACTAAAGGATATGTTTTCCGGGCATATAACTGATCGCCGTTGTGATTTTTACCTCTAGATAATGTTGGCTAAGGAACAAGAGGGTTTGAGTCTGTTCATTTTCATTGTTTTACTAGCATTTCACCTTTCTCAACAGGTGTCTAAGAGATTATATGGCATGGGCTGTTATGAGATCTCTCTGGGAGACACAATTGGAGTGGGAACTCCAGGAAGCATGAAAAGAATGTTGGAAAGTGTCATGAAAGAAATCCCTTCAGGTGCTCTTGCTGTTCACTGTCATGATACATACGGACAAGCCTTAGCAAATATCCTTATGGCCCTTCAGGTATTTTTTATTCTTTGTGTGTTATGTGTTAGGGTGTGTATTCTTATTTGTAATATAAACATGTCAAGAGCTTTAGTGTGATAGTATTTATAAAATATTATCAATATAAGTTTTAAACAGCACCTGCCACGTGACAGACACTCAGGAAGTATTTGCAAATTCCACGTTTTTTAGGACAATGGTGGTCTGTTATTACTGTTAACTTAATTGGATAAAATCCATGAATCTGTTCTTTTTAAAGTATTAATCTTAATAGAGCTTTGACTGCTTGTTTCAACTCCCATAGGCTCTCAACCATAAAATTTAATAGCCTGTATGATGGGAGTAGGGTAAAACACAAAGATAGGGTACAGTTGTGATTGTGGAACTAATGCCCTTTTTGGTAAGTTGGTGCTCTATGATGGGAGCATATAGTGCTGAAATATATAATATTTTGCTTAAAATATTTTCCTGATATTGGAAAACTTACTTTTGACAGAATTTCGGTTTTTTTTAAACAAGTGTATTCCATTATATAGTACAATGAAGAGATCTAGAAAGTTGGAGGATCAAGTATTACTTATTAAATTCTGTGTTATGTTAAATGTATTTATTTAAAAATTTAAATATAAGTAGAATTTTGGAAATATTGGGATTAATATTAGTTTTTTAAACTCAGCTAAAAACAGACTCATTTGATGTTCTTGGAACCCAAGATTTTGACAACTACAGCTAAGATTGTTGAATGCTTTTTGGCGAGGCTGAAATCAGTATGTAAAGCTTCATGTCACAGTTCTAAAGTGTACAGTTTCTGGGCAGAAGTTAAAAAACAGTGGGAAGAATCAAGCTCCACAGGGGCTTATTTTGACTTTGTAACGTATGTGCACAAGTCTTTATTTATCTTCTGGAATCAAGCAAAGAATATTCTATTGTATCAGGTAGAAGAGAAAATGTTATTTTGTGGTCTTTTGGCAATGGAAATTTTTATGATTTTCCTTCTCTAGGTATTCTAGTTTCTAAAACAATAGAGAACTAGGTGTCACTTCAGGATTCTATGTTCAGCTGCAACTGCAACTTATTAAGTGTTCCTGAGCAAGTTCCTGAAGTATACTCTCTCTCTCTTTCTCTCATGTTTCTCTTTATAGATATATCTCCTATATTTTAACACTTTGAATAATATTTGTTTGTGCAGCATATTTATTATATAAGGAATGATAGCTAAGTTCTTTGGGATGAAAGGCTATAGAGCAAGGTCTGAGAACCCAATTTTCTGCTTCTGGACTCTATCGCTTCTTGAAAATGCACAAGTATGAAACATTGCTGATGCCCCACTGTGATTTAAATGGTTAAAGAAGGTTTATCTAAGGAAGTAATTGTTAAAATCAGATCTAAAGAATGAGAAGAAACTAACCCCAGTAAGGTGTGTGTGTATTTGTGTGCACACATGTGTGAAAAGAATGTTTCCAGCTCTTGAAACACCATTTGGGCAAAAGGCCTTGGGGAATGGGAGGACCATGTCATAGGAAGTGAAAGAATACTTATGTATTCAGAGCAGAAATTAAGGTTTATAAAATTTGCTAGATTAGTTGAATTGCATGGTGTCTACAATGAAAAATGAGGACTGAAATCCTGGGGCATTTGCCTATCCTGTAACAGCCACAAAGGGAGACAGGAGAAAACCTGGGCTCAAGCAAGCTGGGGAACATGAATGAGAACCTGTATAAGGCCAGGGCTCCCCAAAAGACCACACCTTCAGTCAAAGGGTGAGCCAGCAAAACATATGCCCCACAAAGGGGGAAGGCGAGCATGTTTGTTTTTCCTGGCCCTGGCTATGAGTAGAGGAGAAATACCAAGTCTCCCTATATACTTCTTAGCCTTTCGTAGACCCTCATGTGGGTTTAGGGTTCAGATTCACATTGTCTACAGAATTTGGGAGACCCAAGCAGATAAATTATTTTCACATGGCTGTGAATTAGCTGCATCTTCAGATGCCAAGAAGAATACAGTTTTTCTAAAGGCACACATTTTCAACTTAAGCCATAGTATTTGGGAGGGGTGTGTATGTGTCAGGAGAGGTGGATATTTTACCCTGCAGCAGCTGCTGTGGTAGTTAGTAGAAAGTCTGAAGTCTGTCAAAGATTCTGTAACTGTGTTTTCCGTTTTTTTTTTTTTTTTAACCATATGCATATGCTCTGTGTATGTATGGGAGGTAAGGGGCCTGGGAAAGCAACAGTATTCTTTTTCCAGCTTTGCATTACATCGCCCCAGAGCTTAATTTATAGTCACAGTGTAAATACTTGGATAAGAGGGTAACAGTGGCTTGTGTAATAAGCAACAAGCTGTAACTGTATTTTCTGTTTTTTTTTTTTTTTTTTTAACCATATGCATATGCTCTGTGTATGTATGGGAGGCAAGGGGCCTGGGAAAGCAACAGTATTCTTTTTCCAGCTTTGCATTACATCGCCCCGGAGCTTAATTTATAGTCACAGTGTAAATACTTGGATAAGAGGGTAACAGTGGCTTGTGTAATAAGCAACAAGATGCAAGGCCAGAGAGGCTGCTATAACTGAATGATTGAGGAAATGGTCAAAAAGCACAGATGTGCTGCAGGAACTAAAAGCTGAAGCGTTGCACAGTTTTTTGTCTTTGCTGCCGTCCAGTTTTATATGGTTTGATAAGACACTGAGAATATAAAAAGGAAATATACACTACTGCCTTCTTGAAACTGTGCATTACAGAGACAATCTTTAAATGTTTTGGAACTTTCATGTTTATTAAAGACAGCCGAACGTGGTGCTGGAATGCCTTTACAAACACACGTGTGCTGGTCCCCAGCAGCACTGAGAAAGGTGGAGTCCACCAGTGCCCTCTTTTCATTCCCTCCTCTCCTTCTAATAACAGCAGCAGCAACAACAACAACAGCAACAGCACAACCAGGTTTAATCTTAGAGGTGGATAAAAATGCCTTGAAAAAACTGTCAGTGTTTTTAAACAGAAGGGAAATCAGAGAAAGTCCAGCTTCATTATGAACAGGGTTAACCTTGGCTTCAGGAAGCAAGTGCCCATAGTTCATTTTTAAAAATGGAACCTTTGAAGTGGCTTCTGGTAAAATTGGTGGTGGATGTGGAGTGGATATCATTTGCTCTAATTTAGGGGTGGAGAAACAGTTTATAGTGCCCCAAACTGGAAGTTAATATTAAGGCAAGGAGACATGTAATAAGTGGAAACTTGGCCACAATGGTAGGAAACAAATGAAAGTTATAAATGGAACATCCCCCTCAGTCTGGAAAGCACATACTAATCATGTAGTGGAGGGATCTTTCTTGGGTTCCCAGGTTTTATTGTATTTTTTTATTACTTAAACATATGACTTAGATGACTGGAGATGGTTGTATGAAAGTCAGAAATTCATAATTATTGGATATTATTTAATTCAGTGAAATTACTCTGAGAGTATAGATTTAAGTGTGTGCTATTTATAACCACACAAAACCAAAAGAGCAAGAAGATGAGGTGACAAAATGTGCAATATTTTAGTAACGGAAGAAACGTACATAGCCTAATAGACTTTTGTATTAAATTTATGTAAAAATTGAGCTTCACCCTCCTGCATATTCTCAAGTACCTAAGCAAAATGCCAGTTAACAAATTGTTTAATCTACTTAATACTAAGCAATTGTTCAGTCTCTGTTTTTCTCCACTGAAATGATTTGAGTCTTCATAATTGGGTAAAAACAGAATAAAACAAATGAGTTCAAATACCACAAATAACAGTCATATGTTAATTAGTAGCACAGAGACAAAGCTGAACAGGCAATATTTAGGTTTCTCCTAAAGAAATACTAGCTGCTTTTTTTTTTCTCTTAAACTTAATAGACTTTTAGCTAATGTGCCTTTTACTCATAATGCTTTCCAAATGTTTATTATTCTCTTTTAGAAAGGCCAAATTATTTACCTAATTTTTACATCAAAAGCATTCACTTTTTTATATTGACTCTTAATAAACCACATTTAAACCACCAAACAGCAAATCTTTCCTCATGTAAAGTGTTTTGAGGTCCTCAAGAAGAATTTTTTTTTTTTTTAATTCCTGTCCCTAGCCAGATAAGTTTCTGTTTCTCAGGTCCATATTTTTTAGAATGTATGTAACGAGATTCATACCCTGAGTTGTGCAAAATTGAGATGAGATGCAGAGTTACTAGAATGATGCCTTGATAACAATGCACTTGATCGTACTTGGTTGGATTGTCAGATTTTTAAGTGTGGTTAACGAAGGCTCCTAAGCCACAGAAGACTGTGAGAAAAGGATGTACGAAGTGCCTTTCAATATTTTTTTTCTGAGGGGTTGCACTGGTTATATCAGTGATGAAGAATGGGTAACAATTGAATAATTTAGTTTGCTTTAGTTTATCTCCTATATCTTTTCATTAATATAAACTTCTCTCTAATTTTGACAACAGGTGATCAGTTAGTTTTTGTCTCCAGGGAAAATATAATTTTCATCTATTTCTATGTATCCACAGGTATTTAATGGGTGGTTGGAAAAAGCTGCTTCAGAGCTAGATAACATTTTAAACTGACATTTAATGAATCAACATTTAAAAATATCACTTGTAAAATTTTACTGTAATGAGATAAAAATGATAGTCCATCTTCATGTAACAGAGTAAGGTTAGATCATGAACTTGAAGCTCACCTGGAAAGTAAACATGTCTAAAACTGTTCTGCTTCACTCACAACATTTCATCAATGCCTGTCAAACAGGCAAATAGTATAAAAATTGATTGTCAGGCTTTTTCTATTAATCAGAAAGGTAGAAAAGAAAGAACACTGGATTTTTCAGCAGAAGATTTTTTGTTTTTCTTTTTGATCATTATTTAATAGGTTTTATTGTTTTTTCACCTGTATCAGCTCTTTTAATTTACAATTGGTTGACACTCTGGAATAAGGGGGTAGGCATAGGGAACAACATACCTTGTGACCATCATTCCCACAAGTCAGAGCTCACTGGACCAAGGAAA